GCATGGGCAACGGGAGGGCGCCGTCGCTCTCGTAGCCCGAACCGTCCTTTTGGGAGTCCCAACTGCTCCGTTGCTTCATATGGTAATGAGCTTGCTGGGCTTCCCAAGCCAGGCGCGCCTGGGCCAGGAAGGGCTCGGGGAAGCCCCGCGCCGCCTCCGCCTCCACCGCCTTGCTCTCCGTACGGTTCATCGGTGACCTGTTGGGTCCCGGGGTGGCTCGTTCCTCACCCAGCATCTGCTCACCCAACACTTCCCGGTCTCCTGAGCCATCCGTGGAGGAAGCGTTGGGGTCGTGGGATAGGGAAGGCTTCCGGCTTTTCCTCTTCCTGGTGGAGGGCGAGTAGCCGGTGGAGGACAAAGTGTCTTGTTGGCTGGACCACGACATGGAGTCCTCGCCCTGGGCCACCTGGCCACTCGTTGGGCCAGGGCAGAAGTCGGGTCCCTCCATGCTGCTGTAGTCACCCGATTTGATCTCCAGGCGTTGGTCCCGGACCAGGCAGGGGCTGTGCTGGAGCGAGTAGGAGCCACCGATGGGATTGGGGGAATATTTGTGCCTCAACCCCGTCTTCATCTTGGGGCTGGAGCCCGACTGCTCGACGTAGACCAGTTGCCTGACGTACTCCTTGCCGGCGGGGCTGTACTCCAGGCTCATGAACCGGTCGGGACACTTCTGTTTGGTGAGCACCAACTGCTGGTAGGGCGAGTTGGAGCTTTGTTTGGGCGACTGTAGGAAGGGGTGAGGTTTCCGGATGGGCGATTTCTGCGGCGAGCCGGCTTTGTAGCTCCCGCTGGCTTCGTACTGCATGTCCACGGGGGGTTCATCATAGATGGGAGCCTGGTATTCCATGGGGGGTTCCTCGTAGAGCGGGGGCTCGTAGGCGTAGCGGGGCGAGGAGGGCTGCGACTCGCTGGAGTGCTTGCGGTGCTGGGCTTGGAGCGGCGAGCAGAAGGAGTCGCCCCGGCCGAGCAGCGGCGAGCAGCTGCCCACGTGCTCAGCCCTCTTCAAGAAGGGCGACTGTTTCCTCTCCGGGAAGAAAACGGAGTTGTCGGAGTCGGGGGCGAAGGTCTGGAGGTTGGGCGACTGCTGGCCCCCCGAAGGGCGCCGCGAACGGCTGCCCGGTTGGTTGTCGGGCGCGTAGCCGTTGCCTTGGTGCATGAGGAAGCTGGGCTCGCGGTCCGTCACCTTGATCAGCATCCGCTCCTTGGTGCCGGCGTTCCAGCGCAGGGACGACGTCCTGCGGGGAGAAACACAAGCGCCGCCATCAGCGAGCGAAGCCCCCCGTGACCCTCCAGACCCCCAACCGCCACGGAGCGCAAAGGACGGACGTGCCCCAGCACCCCAAGCTTCTCCCATCAGGTGAAGAGCACGTCAATGATGGAGAGACGAGGGCATTGCCGCTGTCCCACAGCCATTCCCGGCTCCCATGGACCTCAGCAACCCCCCAAGGTGCACCAAGAGTGGAAAGTCAAGTCCCGAAAAGTGATGACACCCCTTGGAGCACATCTCTAGGTGACAGCTCTGAATCAACCCTCCCTGCTCGTGCCTTGGAGCTCTTGGAGCCAAGCGGCGCTGGAGGAGCGAGCACGGCCATCCGTTGGGGCCAAGCGTTGGGGCAGACGTACGTTTGGGACAGCTTCATGGGTCCTTGCAGGGAGGGGGCTCTGACCCCACCTGAGACTGGTCCCTTGCTGGGATCTCCCATCCCAGGGCGCGTGGGAGAAGCTGCCTACGCAGAGCCCCATCTCTCCCACCTCCTCCTGCTTTCTGTTCCTCGCAGCGCCCAGGATTACCCATCTCATCCCCTCCATCCAGCTCCCTGCCCAGGATTAAGACCCTCCTCCGTTTCCCAGCTGGAGTTGGGTTGCGTCAAAAACCAGTAAAAAAAAATAATAATCCCAAACGTTGTTTCCAAAGAAGTCAAAGGCCAAAACCTTTGGACTTTGCCCCCTCTGCTGCAGACGGAGCCCACGGTGAGGAAACGGGGCTGGGGGTGAACCTCTGCCCATGGTTGGCTCCTGAGGAGATGCTAAAGAGCTCAAGGGGGGGCTTGAAAACATCCCCCCACCTATCCCAGCCCCACAAAATGAGAACCTCCATTGCCCCGTACCCCAAGGCCATGGGGCAGCTACATCTGGCAGCACCAGCGTGGAGTAACGATACGGCGGGGTAGGGAGGGGAGGGACAACCCAGCCAAGGATGAGCATCTCAGTACAGCTGTGAGGATGCTCAAGGTCATCACAGAATCATGGAATGGGTTGGGTTGGAGGGGACCTCACAGACCATCCACCCCCCCTGCTGTGGGCAGGGACACCCTCCACTACACCAGGTTGCTCAAAGCCTCATCCAACCTGGCCTGGAACACTGCCAGGGATGGGGCATCTACAACTTCTCTGGGCAACCTGTGCCAGTGTCTCACCACCCTCAGAGGGAAGAATTTCTTCCTCAGATCCCATCAAGATCTCCCCTCTTCCAGTTTAAAGCCATCACCCTGTCTCCTGTCACTACATTACCCATCTGCTGTGCTCCATGGAGCCCCTTGGTGGGAATTGTGGCCATCGGGTAGGGCAGGAGCTGGACACCACTGGCTGCAGCCTTACCACCAGCTCAGGTTCCTTCATGCCCCAACCCACGGCGTCTCCGATGATGGACAGTGACCTCACACCACGAAGAGTTGGCCCAAGGGTTGGCTCATGCTTCTGCCCTTATCCACATGAAGACTCGGAGTTACTGCCAACTCCGTACTGGATCTCTTGAACCTGGTGACCCGGAGCTTTCACCGATTACAGATCACTGGAGCCTCTTCTCATGATGCAATCCCAGAGACGAGGGAGGCCAGTGCCCACCAGAAGACAACCTTCCCACTCCTTTTTTGGCAGCACACACCATCTCCAGACCCCCCCACCGCCAGCACAGCTCTCGGAGGTCACACCGAGCAGCCCACCAGCCTTGGTTCCAGCTCTGGCACCCAAATGTCCCATCTGATGTCTTGCCCAACACATACATCTCACCACCCACCACTCTCAGTGGATCTCATGGATCCTGAGAGTTGGAGGCAACTCTCCTTATGCCAAGTTACCCCATTAATTAAGAATTAATTAATTCTCCCCTGCTTTTGTGGAAGCACGGCTAAAGCGAGATCTTCTGCACCACCTCCTGAAGGTTGAAGATGGCTCCTTGTTTCTCTGAGAGGACAGCTGAGCCACGAGCTCCGGCCAGCTCACGCTGCCTTCCCCACTTCTATCTCCAGAGGACCACGCTTTGGTTTTCCTCTTTGTTACTGCTGTTGCTCTCCAGTCGCTTCCACCTTGTCCAAAAGATTTCATGGCCATTGGTGGGGGTGTTCTTGCAGGAGCAAGAAGAGGCTCTTCTGCCCCTGCACAACCTGGCACAGTGGGGTGGCACACAGATCACCCCAACTAGAAGAGGGTTGTCCCCACTAAATCCATGTTTCAAGTCCTTGGGAGACGCCGTCAAGGCAGAGGACACTCAGGAGGAAGAGCAGAGGTGGGTTTTATGGAGGTGGTGAAAGCACCACGCGTCTCGCGGGACGGATCCGAGCTGGAGTTTGCTGCTGTCTCCAAAGCACGAGGAAGCACATCGTGTCACCAACTCCTCGCCGAGTCCCACGCTGGCACAGAAGATACCGGAGGCACCAGCTGCTCTCCCAGTTCATTCCTCTCTCTCTGTTTCTCAGCTATTTTTTCACAGCCACTTGTCCTTCTTGTCCTTCAGAAAAAAGGTGGAGTGAGTCCAATTACTGACTTCTGCAGAAAAATGCCCACCAAGAGGCACAGACAAGCATCTCCTCGCACGAGGCCCCACCATCTCCCAGCACTCTGCTCGTCGCTTGCCCACGACTTTGTCCTCACTCCAGGGGACATGGAGAACAATTTCTTCCTTCCCCTTCTGCAGCAGCTTTTTGAGCTCCTGAGGACTTGAACCTCCTGCCAGCTTCTTGCTGTTGAAGACCTGCGTGAGTTTGGGTCTCTCCAGACTGGCTTTTTTGGATCTCAACTACTCATCGAGCCCTTCCAGACCCTCAAAACTCCCTCCGCAAGTGTAGGAGCATGTCCTGAACAGCACAAACTATCAGGGCAGGGACATGGGGGAAGACCTTGCTAGGTCAGAAACGCTTGGCTCCATCAACAGGGTAAAAGAATGATGGAGGTGAGGAGATAGATCCACTACGGAGAGCGCCAAGGACCAACATCATCCCCCTCTACCAGTGCTGAGGCAGTGAGCCCGGAGGCAGAGCGATGCCAGCGGTCCGGAAGGGATTATGACCCCACCAGCAATGAATGACCTTCCTGCTGCCGCGTAGACACTGACCAAGGTCTCCTCTTCCTTCATCAATTATCCGGCCACAGAAGACACTCATTTATTTTCGCCATGGTTACTGACTGCAGTAATTACAGCCCGGGTCACGGGGCTGCCCTTAATATTCTTCAGCAACTACTGCTGGCTACGTGCCACCTCCACGGACATCGTTCTGGTCTGCCACCAAATCAGCGAGCTCAAGGTCCCGTTTTCAGGTTGGGAAGCCCAAGGTGCTCTTGCAACACGAGCCGGCAGCCCAGAAAGCCACCCGTGTCCTGGGCTGCACCCAGAGCAGCGTGGGCAGCAGGTCAGGGAGGGGATTCTGCCCCTCTGCTCTGCTCTGTGAGACCCCCCTGCAGTGCTGCCTTCAGCTCTGGGGTCCCCAACAGCAGAAGGACATGGAGCTGGTGGAGCGGGGCCAGAGGAGGCCATGGAGATGCTCCGAGGGCTGGAGCACCTCTGCTCTGGAGACAGGCTGAGAGAGTTGGGGCTGTTCAGCCTGGAGAAGAGAAGGCTCCGGGGAGACCTTCCAGCACCTCCCAGTGCCTAAAGGGGCTACGAGAAAGCTGGAGAGGGGCTTTGGACACGAGTGTGGAGTGACAGGACATGGGGCAATGGCTTTAAACTGGAAGAGGGGAGATTTCGATGGGATCTAAGGAAGAAATTCTTCACCCTTCCGCA